ATCAAAGTAAAGTACTCCATCTTAGAAATTCATGAGGATTAGGTTTCAACTTCAAATTTACAGCATACATAGAGCTAATAATAACCATAAATTATTGATCTTGCAAATTAACAAAGTACAATCTCTAGGAAAATTGTTTCTTTTTAAGTCTATGATTTATTAACTATAAAGAAAATATGTAAATGTTATTATAATTTCATATCTGAAAGGAAATTAAAACTGGATTTTTCAAAAAGAATTTTTAAAATCACATCTCAATGTTTTGTCATCATTTTGATAAAATTGTAAAGCAACAATTCATTAAAAAAGAACTTCTTTTCACATCATACTGCTAGAATATCTTAATTCAACATCTGAAATAGGGCTTGCATGCTTTTGTAAAAACTCCAATTTTATGGCCATGGAATAGAATTCAGGGCTTTGCAAAGAAGTCATGCGCTCAAAATCAAGGCAAAATTCATGTCTGACAGTCTTAATTTGTAAACCTTGCATATGCATGGACTTTGTTAAGCAAGATATACAGATCCATGCAACCCTATACAAATTTCTATTCAAATTTCAACACTAGAGTAAGTTTGAAAAGGAACATTTTTTTTTTAATCAAGGTTTTGTGTTGCCTTTTATTCAATGGATCTATGTAAAGCTAGTAAGAGGATGTGGTATTTACTGATGAAGATTCCTGGAGTAATTATATTAATGACAATAGTGCCTGGTATGCTAGCCATGGGGGGGTCCCTTCCTCACTCTCAGTTGGCCAAATACCCCCACTGTGAGGATGATTAATAATCTGTGTTATAGACATAGAGTTGGCCAAGCTGGCCTCCGGTTTAACTTAGATACACTTCTGTGAGGATGTGGATAACCAAGGTTACTGAATGTAACTAAGGTCATGTCTAGAAGAAGTAGGGTCTACATACATATATGCAAGTTCACCTGTAAGTCACAGGTATAAGATGAGGTAAAATAGTACCCACTAGTTTGGCAATACAACACTACACAGCAGAAAACTCCTGTGTGTCTAAAATTTTATATAAGAACAAAACATTGTATAATACTGTAAAATTCTATATTATGAATTGCTACAAAATATATATACATTTTATATCTTATTTAAAAGGATGTATAAACAACACATCCTGCATTCCTGTCTGAGAGATCAGTGTATGGTGATACATGTTTAATATATAGACCTTCAGATCTCAATGCTCAGGGGTATACATGTCTGAAAAATGCATTGTCAAGTTGACAAATCCTGACTATGTCAAACCCTTGGGGGTATGTAAATTCACACCTATACACACAGATACAATGTTGGTGTGACAGGATCTACTATTTAGGTGTAAGAAACTAGTTACTTATCAGGTCTATATAAAACAGGTCCACCCGCACTAAATTAGCTGTTGTTACTGTAAATGATAATGTAACGGCCTTCAAACAAATTATAAAACCAGAAAATCTCCATGATTGAAAAAAATAAAAGCAGGTGCTGCAGCATCCTTTTTTTAGGAGCTCAATGTTAAATTCAAAATTATAAATCACAAAATGAAATTTTAACTTTAAACAGGTATATGGCCAAAAAGTCCTTTATTGGTATGTGTTTGTGTCTCAATTATTTCTTGCTAATAATTAGGTTTGTGGATTTTGTTCTTTACTGCAGGCAATTTCTACACATAAGCACAAGCTACAGGGAATAAATTGGAACAATAATTTTGTCAGAAATACTTATTTAAATGTCATTATAGTACATACAAAACTAATTTGTGAAGTGTTTAACTATAACAGTCATCTCAAAAATTTTAATACAAGTTAACGGCATGTTTCAAGGAAAAACAATCAGCTAAGGCATGTCACAAGGAAAAACCTATATTGTATAAGTGACAAGGAAATATGTTTGTCCAATTGTATAACGATAAACACCTTTATAATCAAGAAATATTCGAGGAAACAGTCAGTTCATTATCACCAACATAACTGAGGGTCACGTGCAATAGAAAATTGTAAGGACTTTTTTAATTAGTTTGGAATGTCCCATAATGTGAAGAAAATTGGTGAATTGGGAAGGAATTTTTCAAGACTACCAAAGGAATATTGCAAAATTTGGGAATTTGGTCTAAATATAAAATAATATTAACTAGGAATCCTCAACAAGTCCTGTATTTTCAATTTGACAAAACGTGAAGAGGAAATCAGAATGAAAATGATTATAGCCTACTGAGAGGTACTGTTAATTAGGCTAATGTCGGCTTGAATGGGGATAATTTGTAATACCGGTGTATTTAAAAAGATAATTTGTATTTTTTTGTTTTTTGTTCAGTTCCTTTTGTCATTCCATGTACTGACTTTAAAAGAGTGTAAAAATAAAGTAAATTCAATTTAGGAAAACCTGAATTCTATTGGACATGTAATGTTTCTCCATAGTTTAAACTAAATGAAGATAGCATATTTACATAATTTTTTTTTCGCTGTAATGTACAAATGTTACTTTACTTATACAAAAATGTTTATGTCTAAAGTGTCTGGCTACTGGAATATTGTACACTCATAAATGTTTCTGTGTTTTATAGCAACCTGTGTTCAGTATGCATTGGGAAAATTTATTATGGTTTTCTTCAAAATGTGAAAGACAATCACAATTTTTCCTTTACTTTTGTGGGGAAAAAGGCAGCTGTTGCTGAGGGGAAACTGTCTCATACTGGACCAAAAAAAAAATCAGTGTTCTCAGGAGTTGTTCCTTTGTCATTAAATTTGTGATATTTGAAAAGAATAATGACAAGGTGTGTATTTATACACCTGTACAGGTAATGCGCTGAGTGATGAGTTGTATGCAAAGAGTTATTCATATACACGTTTCAGAAAAAGGTCAGAAGTACATCAAATTTATCTCCTTCATCTACGTATGTTCATAACAGAGAAGAGGGGGGGGGGATTTTGTTATTCAAGGGAATAACCAAAGCCGGTAAAAATCATGTGTAAAGGAGAAACTTGGAAATAATTTTTCCAGATATCACATAAAGCAATAAATCATCCTATTCTTGATCTTTTCACTGTATCAGTATCAGTGTACACAGACACACAGGTACAGTGTATGATATATCTACCACTAGGGACATAGAGTGTCTTAAAGAAACAGCATCACAACTACCAGTCTGATCAATATTGAATTCTAAGGTAGTGAATTATGTATGAACATCACTGTTTAGATGTACAAGTAGCCCTGTATGTCTGTATGTTAATGTTGTGTTTTTTGAAAAAATGTGTTTAAATTTTCTATTTTTCTCATGATCATATTGTATATAGACAAACACTCGTGATCTTTTTTCAAACAGATATTGTTCAGATGTATTCCATACTCTCTAAATTGAACACTATTGGGATCATATTGATAAATGTTGGCTGATTCAGAGAGAATTAATTTATCTGCAAATAAGCCCATGCCCTTTCTCAATGAAGTTAACAAATAATCTCTCTCCAAACTATATACTACTATTTTACACCAGGGAAGGAGCTTACTTGAGGATATGTACAGTAGAGAATGAATTATGTTGTGATTAATGTTGTGACTGATATATTGCAATAAAAATGAGAGATTTCTGTGTTACATTATTCTGTGTACACATATAATACATTGAGACCAGTTCTGAAATGTTTCCGTGTCTACACATATAATATAATGACACTAGTTCTGACATTTTTCTGTGTCTACACATATAATATATAGAGGCAAGTTTTGACATTTTTTTGTGTCTACACATATAATATATAGAGGCAAGTTTTGACATTTTTCTGTGTCTGCACATACAATATATAGCGGCCAGTTTTGAAAGATTTTAAGTTACAAAAATGTCCAGGAGATAGATTAGAAAACAATCAATATCCCCAGTTTATGGTGTCCCCAAACTTCACTGGTATATCTATAACCAACATAATGTATGCAGTTAATTAAAGTTGCAATGATTGTTAGACAGTGGCAACTTGAGCCATGGTTAAGAACCAAATTATATTGATTGGTAACTCAACATAATATATCTCTTGGCAGATTAAAGTGAAAATTAAAGTTCAATACTGAGAAATTTATTATGTTTTAAACCCTGATTAGGTATATTTTAAATACATGACATTGTTAATATATATACTTGATTTGTGTACATTTTAATAAAGTTAACTTATCTGTAACATGTGCAGCTAAAACAGAGGCCAATTCATTTTACAAAGTTTCAGTCCAGCATCTTAATCAAAGTAATCTTTATATCATTAAGGAAATAATACATATTTAACACAAGGAATAGGGTAAGTATTTTAAAAAATTGACTTTACTTCAATGAGGCATGTCTTATCACAATCAAGATGTGGTACTACTGTATCAGATGGTCCTGGGGATTATCTTGTTTCGGATAAATTAAGTGATTTTTGTTAGCATTTTTCCTGATTCTGGGAAACGAGTTAATTGGTGTAGAATAATACAAATGTGGATATAAAACGGGATAAACAGAATTTATCAGCTGTGCAAAATTAAGTCGAAAACGGTCACCTTGTATGTTCTCTTTAAGAGAAGAAAATATTTCTATACGTCTTTGTTTCTTCTAAGACTGACCGATTGTTAAACATTAGTACACTTGAAGTTCATGAATTTACTAAAGTGGTCAGTTCATAAGTTATTACGACACCCATATACGAAGTTATAAAACATCACAAACATGATAATCATCCATCGTCCTTAATCATGAAAAAAGATATAAAGTAGAGCGGATGAAAGTCCACTTTCACATGCAGTTAAAATAACACAATAAACTAATTATCACAAGTACAACGTTTGGCATATTTATAGGATTCTGCGGAATATTATGATATTCAACAGTATATCTAAAACGTCATAGTGTTGAAAGAACCGACTATCCGTAATAAGAACTGTTCCTACATCACTTATGTCAAACAAGAAGCGGGTTCGTCCCGAACAAGCACAATTGTGGACGTACCTGTCTGATCAACCACGGTCGACTTACCTGACATACAGTACACATGTCCTACGAACAGGACGAGGAATAACCCAAAATGTATCTTCTCCATCTTAATACCCCTTCATGTGTGGCGAAAAGGGGCTATTTACAACAAAAATGTCTCTTGTTTGTCCTCGTAATCTCTTAAAGCCTCCAATATGGCTGGCAATCGATTTTATGTTATGATAATGCTTGAGAACCATGACGTCATGAGTACTTCCGGTTATGTGTTTTCCCGATTAGGATCCGACTAGATGGAAATAACTATTTAGTTACCTTTTCGTTTTGAAATAAACGGAAAACCCAAATAAATCAATTTATTACGGATGGTTATGCCTCCCTGAATAAAAGCAGGGCATACCTCATAAAATGTGTCGCATTACCGCATGAATGTCTATTGTTAAGCGCTTGATAGAGTAAGATTGCAGGTGAGAAAACGAATGTGATCTTAATAATTCAGAGTTCCCTCCCTTACACTGCTACGCTCGCCTTCATTGTCGTAGACCTATATAACATTACTTTTGTATTCGGAGTATTTAAGTTTCTTTTTTATCTCCATTTTTCATTTAACTGTCAAACTTCAATTCATTTATTTGTTTATTCCCCACGAAACCCATCTGCGACGGAAATTATATGTGAGCTCTGTCCGTCCACAATCCGCCCGCCGCCGTTAAAAAGGAAACGGATAGACCAAATTACAAATTTCAGTTGGATCAGAGACGTATATATCATATATGTGATATATACGCCTCTGGTTGAATGGAACATGACTTAAACACCGTTTAAAGTAAATCCCTGAAACTTTGTACTGCTGTCTACCTAGCATTCTGGATATAAAAGAGTTATGATTTCATATTTATATTATTTTGCCTGGTTAACACAGAAACAGGCAAATCTACAAATTTTGCCGTTTCCAGAGTAAAAGAGTAAAATGTCAAAACAGTTCATGATACCAGGGACGTATAACACGGTTATATACATCCCTGATGATACTCTAAACCTTTCCACCCTTGATCATATCATTCTAGCTCTTCTTTTTCATATTACCATGGAAACATATTAGAAACAGATAAGCAAAAGTTCACGGTCTCCAGGACATCGCAACAAAATTGTTCACGAATTTGTCTTACACTTTGTATAAGTAAACACTCTCTTAAGTGATTGAGGGGGTGGAGGGGGTGGATAATGTCACGCTGTGTGTTACACTGTTTATTATTGAGAGTGGAAATCCATATCCTTTATCTGACTTTGAGCCATGATCTCTAAAACTGCTAGTTTGAAATATAAATGTTTTCCATTGATACAATGTAAACACGATGTCGCTACATGATTATGTGAAGAGTACATTGTGCACTGTAAGATGACACCCCAACTTCTGCGTGCTAAGGCGTTCAAAATATGCTAACAATAGACATATATTAGACTTAACATTACTCGCTTTTCTTTGTCTGAAATCCTGTTAAACACGAACTACTTGTAATGTGTCTTAATGTTGAAGGTAATTCAATATTCATGGGTTTGTCCCAAATATCGCGACTTCCTGCAAGATGTCGATAGCAAACAGATAAACTCACAACACAGGTTTTCTCGAAATGTAGGCTGATGAAGTCTATTTGGGTGTTTTTCGGTCGTCATAATGATCTCATAGGGAAATATGTTATTTCCTCGTGTGAAGTAAAAGCTGGGCGTGCTTGACTCTCGTTAGTATACCTGACAGTTCAGTTGTTTACATTGTTCTTCATTTGGGGACGTGACACTCCTTATTTTAATTAACCAAAGTTAACATGGCGGGTGTCATCGATGTAGAAAACGGCGGTTAGCCCCCAGGAACACCTGGTCTTATTCCCCTTGTACTTTTCACAAGAGTCTCCGTGTAAATATTTCTCTTGCTCATATTTTCCGATAGTTTCATCGAATCTTAGTTTGAATTAATATACTGTTGACTTGTTGATATTTTCTTGATTTTGTTTTTTATAATATATGCAGCTATTGAGGACATACCGCGTCGCGCATGCGGCGTTTCAGGGAAAAAACAAATACATCGTTTTGTAAATAAAAATTCCAAAATGTATACTTCTGAACAGTAAATTAAACATGTCTTTGTTATACATTGTATGTCTTTTTTTACATTAATTTACAGATGAAAATAAGTTGTGTCATTTTTAGATGAAATTTAAACATGAATCTTACCAAATTTTTAACAAAACGATTTTCGACAAATTCATTGTGAAATATAAGCATTATTATCTATAAATCTCCAAATGTATGTTTCGGATTATGAAGTATAGTAACTCTCCAACACATTGATATAACTTTGACAAACTTGAATGAAAAAATAAAATGTGTAACTTTTAGATGAAATGGCACATAATTTCAGTTCATGGAAATTTTCAAAGTCCTATCGCTGTACAGGTAAACATGCCATCAGTGTACGTGTATTGACGAGTGATTAAGACGGACTGCTCATTCTGTGTTTATACATAGTAAATAGTTGTATTGTTTTCTGATCAAAGTACATTTGATAACTTCGAAATAAAGGATTTCACATGTGATTAACGAAATGTATACAACCAAAACATAGTTCACAGTATGTGAATATCAGCAATCACATGAGTGCGGTAATCTTTTTATTTTTTTTTTATCTTCCATTTTTTTTATTATTATTTATAAGTTATCACTATACATTTCGTTCGTTAATGTACAATTCAAGTTCAAAGACATATGTACAGTTTACACCTGACATTTGTAACCATTGGTGTAATTATATAAAACCATAAGGACGAATCATGCAAGTATTAATGAAGAAGTGTACAATGTATATACTATGTTGACGTTGATACTTAAATGTACAATCATTCTTAACGAGAAGCGTACGATGCAGCCATGCTTATAACAGAGGCATTCATTCATGTTTTCGTTGTATCGTTAGAATGCTTTCGTGTACTTTCGGGAATTTCAAAGAGGTAGGACAAGACGTCCCTATGATACAACAACAGATATAAGAGCTATTCGACTAGATTTTCAGAAAAAGGGTGTTCCGAAGTGATTACATACAAGTCGCTTTGTAATCTCGGCTTGTGTTGTTTGCTTTTCAAATGTTTCTCAGTTAACATCCATGTTTCTTTAACTAATTTGCATAACGAGTTTATATGTCAATAACGCACGATTGGGCGAAGTGATCCTTGGGTAATGGCCGTCATGACAATTGTTGTACTGTGCAAGGTTATAAAGAACATCTTCTCATTCGAAATTTATTTCATATTTAAATAAGTTGAAAATACAGTCGATTTGTCAAACATTGAAAAGGGAATCTCATTTTCGTAACAAAAATAATACTATTAAATCAAAATGGCAAATCATTAAAAGTACATTGATCAATCGGAAAATAATTGTGATTTTTAGTGCCACGGATTTCAAATTACCTTCTTCTATAAAGAATGATATTTCATTTGAGAATAACTCGGACACGCGTTTTGTGTTAAAAAAGAATCTAAAGTGAACATAATATTCTTGTCACAAAAGTTAGCGCGATCAATTTGAAAATGAGATTTCTACCATGACTGTGTGTTTTCAAAAGATAAGCTAGAAACTTTTGGAGAAATCTGGTATATAAACACAACAACGCTAAGTAACTCTAATTGATAAAGTATTTTAATTCAATGCATTCCCTAATACAATCATCGTACAGAAAATATCAATTTGTACGTTATAATTAGCATATTTCGAGACAATCATAATAATCAGATATCAAAATAGATACAAACATGCATTTTCTAGCATTTGAAACAACCAGGAAAAGTAGAAAAAAAAAACAGAGACTGAAATACCTCTATATTATACGTTTCTGACTTTACCTGACATATTTGACAATCGAGGCTTAAGAAAAATAATTATGATGACAAGCTAGAGTCGCATTTAGTTACGCTCTGTTTCATTACAATGGACGTGCAAAAGATCACGGAATTCTTGCTAGAAGATTAAAAACATGGATTAATATTGTAACAACCAATCAATCGGATTACATAATAGAATTTACTTATTGACTGCTATTTATAAATGTAAGTCATCAATCTTAGAGATGTAAAATGTACGAGTTCGATTAATTCGATATTTGCTCTATGCTGTGTATTTGTGGTGGCTAGATGTCACAGTAGCGAAACAATTGCTTTATAGTTTGTCAGATGAAATGCTTATTTTCTTTCAATATATGCAACATGTGAAAGGTCATCTTCAAATAACAAGATATCCGTTTCACTGAGATATGGATTTGTCTTGTCACATTCATCTTATAAAGACTTAATCTATTGTCAAATTCTTCATAGTATGACTTTAACGTGACCTTTTGTTCCCGTGTTATTAGTTATACTTGTCCGTCCGTCCGTATTGCTGTGACTTAATTTGTCTTGTTGTTACCATTTTATTAGTTATAGTTGTCCGTCCGTCCCTATTGCTGTGACTTAATTTGTCTCGTTGTTACCATTATATTAGTTTTACTTGTCCGTCCGTCCCTATTGCTGTGACTTAATTTGTCTTGTTGTCCCAATTATATTAGTTATACTTGTCCGTCCGTCCCTATTGCTGTGAATTAATTTGTCCTCTTGTTACCATTATATTAGGTTTACTTGTCCGTCCGTCCGTCCCTATTGCTGTGACTTAATTTGTCTTGTTGTCCACATTATATTAGGTTTACTTGTCCGTCCGTCCCTATTGCTGTGACTTAATTTGTCTTGTTGTCCACATTATATTAGGTTTACTTGTCCGTCCGTCCCTATTGCTGTGACTTAATTTGCCTTGTTGTTACCATTATATTAGTTTTACTTGTCCGTCCGTCCCTATTGCTGTGACTTAATTTGCCTTGTTGTTACCATTATATTAGTTTAACTTGTCCTTTCGTCCCTATTGCTGTGACTTAATTTGTCTTGTTGTTACCATTATATTAGTTTTACTTGTCCGTCCGTCCGTATTACTGTGACTTAATTTGTCTTGTTGTTACCATTATATTAGTTTAACTTGTCCTTTCGTCCCTATTGCTGTGACTTAATTTGTCTTGTTGTTACCATTATATTAGTTTTACTTGTCCATTCGTCCCTATTGCTGTGACTTAATTTGTCTCGTTGTTACCATTATATTAGTTTAACTTGTCCATTCGTC